TACAAGGGAATTCTGTTACTGTACTGCTGCGGATATTAAATGTTAGAACAGTGTCCCCTTGGCTCTACATGCAAAACGTAATGATTATTAAGCTCTGAAAGCACCTTACCCACAGGTGCAAGATTCTGAATGCTATTATTTTTTAGATGTTAAAAAACAATAATGACCTCGGTATGAACAAAAATAAAGAATCAACAGAGAAGAAATAAAGTTGATTTTTAGCTTTCATTTAAAAAAGAAAGTATAATATGAGTATTGCCACATCTGAGATGCAAAGTACTAAAACAAAAAAAATTGGGGTAAAATTCTTCCTTTAATTCTCAGGCACTTTTCTGATAAGGGTAAAGACAGAAACCGGAACAGAATGAAGACCTTTCCTTCCTGGAACTCTAGAGATAATACTGTATTGTGAAGAGCCCCTAGAGAAGATGTAGAAGGCTTAGCAATTTCATCTCATACCAAAACTCAAATCAACTATATTTACTAGATATGTACCTATGTGTAGCGGTATAGAGCACAGGTTCTAGATTTAGACTACATTATCACGTTGTAGTCTTTTGGCTAAGTTAAAATATACTATAGATGTAGACTACAAGTTTGAATTCTGGCTCTAAGAGCTTAGTGAGTAGGTCTATAATCTGTAGCAGATTCCTTAACCTTTCTGGATTGCAGTTTCCTCAATGGTAAAATAGAGGCAATAATTAACATTACCATGCAGACTTGTTTTAAAGATTAATTGAAATAAGCAATTAAAGTACTTAGAGCAAAGGCCAGTATCTATTAAGTGCTTAACAAATATTAGCCATTGTGTTTTATATAAATTTTCTCATTGAATTCTTATGACATATCTGTTTGTTAGGTAGGCATTATTACTCTCATCTCATGGTTAAGGTGAGTTAAATAATTTTCCCCAAGTCCTACAGAGATAAAGAAGAATTTGACATTGGATCTGTCTAGTTCCCAGCCCATGCGCTTACTTCTACCTAATACCGTACATGTTCCCCATAGGTCTTGCTTTTATGTCATCATAACACTTATCAAGATGTATTTAAATAGGCTTTCAACTGATCTTTCAATCTAAGAGCAAACTATACTGGGTCCTGTTTATCTATTTCTATCAGTCCCCTCCAGCTCACTCATCCAGATTTGAGAGCTTCTAGGCGGGGCATTGTTAGGTGCTGAACTAGTATGATGGGTAGACATACAGGGTCCCAGTCATCACGGACCTCAAAGTCTATTAAAAAAGACAGATAATCAAGTAAAAATATAATTACAAACTGGTATTGTCGTAATAAAGGAAAAGAGTCAGATGTTAGAAAAGAGCATTAAGAGATGGAACTCATTTAGATAAAGGAAATCAAGTAAGATCTTTGTCTCCCCCTCTCTCCCTCCCTCCGTCTCTCTCTCTCTCTCTCTCTCTCTCTCTCTCTCTCTCTCTCTCTCTCTCTCTCTCTGAGGAAGGGACACAAAGCTGTGATGAGAAGGCTGAGTAAGAGTAGGCAAGGCAAAGAAATGGGGATTTAAAAAAGTCATCATTGGAGAACATGCTTAGAGAAAGGAAGGGGAAGAGAGAGTGTATGAGAAACATTGATCACAAGTGCCCTGAAGGGAGATGCCCTGACAATGCTCCAACCAACTGAGCCACTCCAGCTGGGCAAAGAAAGGGGGATTTAAATCACTTGTGGATAGGACCTAAAAAGAGACCTCACCAGAAGGGTATGAGAAAGGGTAAGCCAGTGTGGCTGGAAAGGAGCCAGCATGGTTGCAAATGATGACTGCAGAGCAGAGTGGTATGAGATGAGAAGGGAGAGGTGAGCTATCAGAGCTCATAGGAGTATCCAGGATTTGGGAGTTTATATTCAGTACAATGGGATTTTTGTGATTAAGGAAGATCACTCTAGCTGCAATATGGAGACTAGATTGGAAAAGCACAAGAGAAGAATCTGGGAAACTCAGCGGGATTTTCTTACAGTAGGTCAAGGGAGATGTGACGGTGGTTTAGGACCAGGAGGGTGGCAGTAAGGGAGGTGGAATATACAGATTCAAAGTATATTGACTCCCCATGTCTAACACATTGCCTGACAATAACAGGAACTCAATCACTGGTTGCCTGACTGATTCCTCAAGCAGAGCTGTTGCTGGTTCTGAGGCATCTGCTAACCCACAGATGCATGACCTCACCATGAGCAGCTTAGTTATCCCGTGCACATGAGACCCACAGCAAGATGTCGGAGAAATTATTATTGAGTTCATAAGCCAGCTGGCAAGACTCCACTTATGAAAACCTCTTGATGTGTGAATTCTTCTTTGTAAAACAAAGGGCTTCCCCCACTCTGACAATGGAAAATTTTAGAAGCCAGCTAATTTTTTGCTGTGTGACTTTTTTAAACTTGTGGGAGAAATGTATTATTTAAAATAGCCTGGGGTATGCTGTCAGAAATACAGTAAAATACTAAAGGTGCTGAAAGTAAGTCCTTTCTTTTAAGAGGAAAAAATGCTATAGTTAGACAAACAATACTCATTCTATATCCTTCCTTGTAAAAAACATGGTCTCTGTCATTACTTCCTAAAACAGCAAAATATTTTTATTACCTATTAGCAACAAATGCAAATGCAAAGTTAATACATTTTCTTATAATCTGATAAATTCACAATGTCAGAACAGAGAATGTCTTCCCTATGTTATTTAATAATTTTGACCTTGTATCTATAAGATATTTTTCCTTAATCCTTAATCCCAATACCTCTGAAAATGTTTGGCCATCCTTACACAGGCCAATAGCATTAATAACAGGGTGACAGGAGTAGTAAGGTTTACAGCTGCTCTCTTGCTAGGACTACGATAAACCTAAGATACTTAAAATTTCTTCGAAATTAAAGTTTTTGTTATTATTAAATTAAAAGCCCAATGCACAATTTGTGCTAGAATGGGCCTTCCTTTCCTTGGCTGCTGGCACTGCCTTTCCACTCTGGCCCTGCCTTACTATGCTGCCAAGAGGGCCCAAGAGACCAGGGTGGAGTGGAATGCCTGCATCATCACCATGGTGGCAACGCAGGCATCCACACTGGTCACTCAGTGTCTGTGTATGCAAATTAACAGCCATCTTTGGCAGGTGGCATAGCAGAGGGATGGTCAATTTACATGTTTGTATATTATTAGGTAAGATTAGTTAAACCAATATATTACTTAGGCTAGCGTTGTACATTCAAATGCTTGAGGACATAATTAAAGCTTAGTTTATTATTTTAAAAAGTGTGCTTATCAGCAAAAACTTCAGCCAAGTGTCTTGCATGCCTTTTATCAAAAGACCACCTACCCACCAGTGCCCCTCCACTGCTTCTGAAGAATCTCAAAGTTTAAATGGTAGAGATCAGGAGAATAAGAAGGGCTGAACAGGACTGCCATGCAAGGTACTTAATAAGCTTAAAAATAGTCAGTGTGGGATGTGGCTCAGTGGTTGAGCATTGACCTATGAACCAGGAAGTCTCAGTTTGATTCCTAGTCAGGGCACATGTCCAGGCTGCAGGCTTGATCCCCAGTGTAGGGTGTGCAGGAGACAGCTTATCAATGATTCTCATCATTGATGTTTCTATCTCTCTCTCCTTCTCCGTTCCTCTCTGAAATCAATAAAAATACATTAAAATATATCTATTTATAATTCGCCTTCTTCCATTTGGTAGGAAGCCATTTCCCCTACACTAAAAAAAAGCTTTATATGATACTCTCTTGTACAAGTAGTATGTGTTTAAAGTCTTAAAAATGTTCTTTCTACAGAACCAGAAAAGGATCCTTACGAGCATCATAATATTATGGTCCTATCACTGTAAGAACTATTTTAAAGAATCTTAGTAACCAAGACAAATAATAATATATAGAAACCTTAGAAATTCACTGTTGAACAAAACAGTGAAATTAAAGTTGAACAAAACAAAGGTACAAATTGTTCCATCTATCCTTTACCACTCAAGAAAACAAGACTGTATATTATTAGCTAAAATTCATATTTTATCAACATCTGTAAAAAATTGTTAATATTCTAATTCACATAAAGAGAAAAGAATTACCTCAAATTTATCTGATTTCCATTTTATTAAAGAATCTCCCTCCTTTGTTTTTTAGTACAAAATTACCTTCATTATTAGGAAAAGCCACTTATTCCAGTTGGCAAAATAAAAGCGTAAGCTCAGACCTTAGACAATTATTAATTACAAAAGAAAAAATTTAGAAAATAGCATACTTTAAATGCAATGCTATAATTAAAATATACAAATTTATAGGGAGTAGCAAAAGTAGATTTATAGCAGTGAGTACATAAAAAAGAGCTTATTCTTACAGTATTATTTATTATTGTATTATTTTCCATATGAACTGTAATCCTATTTGCCCCACCCTGTATTAATTAAATCTTACATAATATTCGACCCTATATGAGTATACAAATCAAATACCTTCATTCTCAAATTATCTCAGACAACAGCACAACTGAGTAACAGTTGTATATTCTCATTTTTGCTAAAAAATATGTTTATAGGAAGGTCATTTAAAATGAATACATCCCAAGCCATCTATAAACTGGTATAAACAGAAGGAACCAACATTTCTAAACTAGCAACATTAAAGGTATTTCTATCAAATTTAAACATAGTTTTAAATAGCAGACAGCATAGAACATAACATCGCCGTCCCCCATTTGAACCAAAAATCTCAAAACTTTGGATTATTTATTTCTTCAAGTTATAGTCTGCTTATTACCAAATTCATAATCCTTTGATATTTTCTTAAAACAGATTAAATTTGCTTCCTTCCCCCAGGGAAATGCCAGACTACAGTGATATCTAAGAAATATGATTAGATTAATTTAATTACTTCATGTCAACTTGATAAGTCACTGCTCTTTAATGCAAAAACTGCCACTTGTAATTAATGACTGTTCGTATTGCTTTAATTGATCAAATGTCTCATACATATAAAACATTGAAAGAAGTTCTGTATATCTTACAGCAATTCAGTGGAGAAGTCTTGTCCCAGGGGTATGTAAATCTGAAGTACAAGAAACCTCTGGATCAGTCCAACTAGAATGAGAGGGGGAAAAGACACATTCACATGTCCAAACCATTTATATGTGCATATATCGATAGACAAATAATCGAAGGCCACCAACAAGCTCAAACTTTTAGTATTTCAATAATATAAAGAACTGCAATAGCACTGTCCATGTGTTACAACCTCATTATTCAAGCAAAACATTGATGAAAATTAAATCAAAATCTAACAACAAATATCTTTTAATTTCCCATCTATAGGCATGGTAAAATATTTATGAAAGTTTAAAAATAATTTTTATTTACTATTTTTAATAGCTTAGGAGAGAATGTACACATAGAACTGCATTCAATAGAGACATATAAAACTGAACTATAGATTCCCATCAAGCATTCATAAAAACTTGCTGCAATTCTTTTTATTCACTGACAGTTTTAAGTGTACTAAACAGCTTAATAAAAAAAAAAAAATAGACCAAGAAAAGCAATTCACACTGAAGATTTGATGAGCCATATCTAGTTTATATGGTTTTAAACATGGTGTCCACATTGAGATGGAGAAACATATTTTCATTTATAATACCTTTTGTAAATTTAACACAGTTTTAATTAATCTAATATTCATAAATTAAGAACTGATAACTTTTATTCCTCACCACTGGCTTCATCTTTATTAACAGATATTTGGAGAAATACCAATCACTTTTGATAGGTGAAGTCTATAACTGCTTCAAAATTGATTAATTTCATATTACCTCTTCAGATTCATTCACTTAATTCCTTTTCTCTTAGGTTTTGAACTTCTGCTTAATCTCGCAATTATGATGCACTTAATGGATGTTTTAATATCACTACTTCTCAAAACAATTTTTAGAAACTTTTTTCCTAAAATATGAAAATGTTTTGATTTATCTGACCTTTCTTACAAATATAGTACAGGCTTATGCATGGATAAAAGAAGGCAACTGGTCTAAAATGCATGTTATTTTCTATTTATTCTAACTTAGTAGGTTTAACAAATTTAATTATTTTAAAGTAATAACATGTGTTTTTATAATTTATATAAAGACCTTCTAGGTTATAATTCCAGATAAGCTATTTAACATTTCAGAACAATCTGAAATTTAGAATCTAAAAATTAAATGTGCCCACTGTTTTTAAATCAAACAAACAGGATAATTTTTGCTTAAAACACTAAGTGGCCAAGTGGCTCAGTTGGTTAGAGCATAGACCTGCACACCAAAAGGTTGTGGGTTCGATTCCTAGTCAGGGCCCATTCGAAAGGCAACTGATGAATGCTTCTCTCTCACATTAATCTTTCTCTTTCTCTCTCTCTCCCCCTTCCTCTCTCTCTAAAAATCAATAAAAACATATCCCTCAGGTGAGGATTAAAATAAACAAACAACAAAAACACTAAATATATAAACTGCACCAGAGACCTATTTGTAGAGTAAGCAATATAATAAAAAAAAAATTACAGGCTCTGACCTTAGAAAATTTGTCAGGAACCAGATTTTACCATATTTATGGGAAAAGCCAGTAAGGCAACCAGGGCCATGGACTACAAAACCAAAATAAGAAGCCAAAATGAGGCCAACTTAAATAAATCATTGTTAATCAATCTCTCTCTTACATCTTTCCCTGATTGGCCCATTGGGTATTTTCCCACTGGACAAGGTGTCTGTAAATAGAGCTCAGGGAGCACCAGGATAAATGAAATGCAGTCTTTTCAAAAGGTCCCTAATATATGTCACAAATCTCACTGAATCAGCACTGTTCTCTTCAAGCACAAAGAGCTACACATATAGGGCATTTTTGTATGAACATTTTTAGATATGAAAGACACCTGCCCTCAAAATAGAAACCTTTATAATGCAACTTTCTCACATATAGAGAAGCCCTAGTTTCCAAAAGTCTCCACTTCTAAGATTAAAAGAAGTATGACAATACTATATTGTGATGATCTAACAAAGAAAAAAGTACTTTAATAACGTTTGACATCCACTGATCCTGTGTGTTAGAAAAGCTATATAAATTCTATAGTAATATTTTTTCTAGTGGCCTAGTAAATTCAAATGGACTCTTCATGTGTACATTATATTTAAAATCACTGTAAGTAATGCTGAATATGTAACTGCTTAGTCAAAAAATACCTGTTATGCACATAAAATTCATAAAAATGTAGTCCTTTTATTGAAATATGCGGTTTTCTAATCCACTAGAAGCCTGTTGTACAAAATTTGTGTACTCGGGGGGTAGTGGGGTCCCTCAGCCTGGCCTGTGCCCTCTTGCAGTCGAGGAAGTCTCACTGACAGCTTAGGCCTGCTCCCCCCCCCTCCCCCCCCCCCCCCCCCGGCTCCTTGGAGAACGAGCCTAAGCCGTCAGTTGGACATCCTAAGTCGTGGCCATGGAGGCGGAAGAGGCTCCCACCACCGTTGCTGTGCTCCTCAGCCATGAGCCCAGCTTCAGGGGGCAGCTCCTGCTTTGAGCATCTGCCTTCTGGTAGTCAGTGCGCATCAGAGAGACTGGTCGTTCTGCTGTTCGGTCAATTTGCATATTAGCCTTTTATTCCATAGCACTTGTGGCCTGGTGCACAAAATTTGTGCATGGGGGGGGCTCCCTCAGCCCAGCCTGCACCCTCTCTAACTGGGGACCCCTCAAGGGATGTCTAACTGCTGGTTTAGGCCCCATCCCACCGGCAATTGGACATCCCTCTTGCAATCTGGGACTGCTGGCTCCTAACTGCTCACCTGCCTGCCTGCCTGATTGCCCCTAACTGCCTCTGCCTGCATGCCTGATTGCCCCTAACTGCTCTCCCCTGCCGGCCTGATCTTGCCCCAAAGACCCTCCCTTACTGGCCTGATCTCACTCCAAACTGCCCTCCCCTGCTGGCCTAATTGCCTCTAACTACCTCTGCCTGCCTCATCACCCCTAACTGCCCTCCCCTGCCAGCCTGATCTCACCCCCAACCGCCCTTCCCTGCCGGCCTGATCTCGCCCTCAACTTCCCTCTTTGCCTCAACCCCCATCACTATGGCTTTGTCCAGAAAGAAGTCAGATGTCTGAAAGATGACTGGTTGACCCAGTCTAATTAGCATATCACCCTTTTATTAGTACTAGTATAGGATAGGATTGCTTAAATGGGGAGGGGAGAACCTTTTTCATCAGGAGAATATGCTCTTGGTGGATATAATCCCTATATCTGGATTGATAGAGACAGCCATATGCACTATAATGCCAAACTGGTCATTAAAAAATTGAACCACGTTCTTACACCTTACATTAAACAGCTGTTGCCCTTAAAATTCCTCCTCAGACCCTACCTTAGGTTCTGCCTTCGTAGTTCACCCAGATTAGGTTATGACTGGTCAGTTTCTATGCCAGTGTCAAAAGCTCCGCCTCCTAGGCAGCCATTAGCTCCTCACAGTTCACCCAGATTTGGCTCTGATTGGTCAGTTTTTATGCTAGTCAGTATCTCTGCGCCTATCTCCAGGCCTGATCAGAGAGGCGGGGCTGATCAGCAGCCCCCCGCAGAGGCCTGAAGAGAAATAGAGGTGCAGCTGCTGGTGAAGCCCAGAGAGAAAGAGAAAGGCAATAGCTGATCAACAGCTGCTATGGAGGCTGCGGTTCAGATCCTGCCTCTCCCCAGACCTCTCGCCAGGCCTGATCCTCAGCCCCCTCAGCAGTCAGTGCTGGGTCACCACACTCGCAGCAACAGCACTGACTACAGGACAACCCAGACAGCCATGGCAACCCAGCAATGACTGCAGGACTAACTTCCAGTGAGTTGAGCCTTTGGTCATTTTGGACGTTTCAGACCCTGGGTTTTTATATATTAGGGTTCTTGCCTGAAACAAACTACCTCTATTTTTAAGGGATCAGGTCCTTTTTTCTTTTGAATATTTTAGAAACAAATTTAATGAGTAAAATATCATTAGATGTTTAAACACTGGTGTTACAGTTATTTCCTTATAGAAAAGGAGAAGCCCGATGCATGAAATTCATGCGAGAGTAGGCCTTTATTCCCCTGGCGGCTGCCACTGGCTTCCCTCTGGCACCTGGGACCCAGCCATCCTCCTGGCCACTGGCAGGCACCTGGGACCCAGGTTTCCATCATAGACCTGGCTTTGTCTGGAAGGTCGTCTGGAATTAGCATATTACATTTTTATTATTATAGATGACAGCTGTACACCTCATATACAAGGAGTTGGGACTAGTCATCCTTTAGGAGTGACGTGATAAATCATGCTGAAACTACTTACTGGTTCTAATCACAGCCCTGGCAAAAACAGCACTGACCTGTACCTCTCCACTTGAATACAGATGACAGGAAACACTTATGCCCTCATTCTGAGTTATTCTGCAACCCTTGGGCAAATGAAAAAAACCTGTCTGGGCCCTTTTACTTTTCATGTGTAAAACTGAGTCAATAATTTAGAATTATAAATTATAGACTTATTTATATGGATTAAGTTAGATCTATTCAATAAAGATTTATTGAACATCTACTATGTGTGAGACAGTGCTAAAGTTTTTTTAGTGGGTAAGATAGACAAGGTCTCTGACCCCTTAGAATTTATTGTCTAGTTCTATGAAGGAGGAGGTCAGGGTGCTGTGAAAGCATATAATCATGGGTCCTTAGAGGGAAAGTGACAATGAACGAACATTTTCTTGAAGAAATGACATTGGAATTCAGGTAGAAACACATTTTACAGGGAGAGGGGATATTCTATCATATGATGAAAAAGGTGAATTTAAAGGCCTAACAGGCAGATAGAAAAGTCAGCAGGTGAAAAGCAGCAAGAGATAGCCTGGAAAATAGCTTCCCATTGATTTTAGGATGACCTATGGGAACTCAATCATTCAGGGCCTTGAAGACCATGTGAAGGGTATAGGTCATTCTAAATCAATGGGAAGCCACTCATATATTCACTAATTTATTCAACAAAGTTACTGGATGTCTACTGTGGTGCCAGGCACTGTTTTGGGTGAACAAAAAAGACTAAATTTCTGTGCTGGTGGCAGTTACTTTCTGGTAATGGTGAGAAAATTAAACAAACAAACAGATAGTTAGATAGCATGTTAAATGGTAGTAAGAGCTATTGGAAGAAGCAAAGAATGGTAAAAATGATCAAAAGTGTGGGAAGGATCTAAAGCACAGGTCAGGGTTAAGGCCTGAAGAAGGGGAGTTTGGGAAAATGAAGCTCTAGGCAGAGAGTACAGTACAGCTTGAGCACAGGTGCTAAGGTGATAGGCACCAGGATATGTTTGAAAACAGCAAGGAGACCTGTATATTAATAGTTGCAGCAGAGTGAACAAGGGAGAGAATTATAGAAGACAAGGTCAGGGAGTTAAGAGGGTACCGATCCTGCAGGGTCCTATAGATCTTTGGTTTTTACGCTGAGAGAGATTGGGCATTTTCAGCAGGGGAGTGCCTTACATTGATTGACAAGTGTCGCTCTAGCCACTAAATTGACAACAGAAGACAAGTCAGAAACAGGGAGGCCAATTAGAAGTTTACTGCAGTATTCCAAGCATGAGATAATAGTGGCCTGGACCAGGGTGGTAGCATTAGAGGGTGGCAAGAAGTAGCAGTCAGAGAAAGACTATAACTTAAACACAGAACCAACAAGACCTTCCTCATGGACTGAATGAAGAGAAAAAAGATCAGGCTAATTTAAGACAAGTTACTAACGACTGAGATGGGGCTGTGTGCTTGAGGAGGAGGAGGAGCAGGAGGAGGAGGAGGAGGAACTTTTAGGGTAAAATTTGTCCAAGTGGAAATGTCAAATAAGCAATTGAAAATTCAAGTTGGGAGTTTGAGAGGGAAGTATGAGCTGGAAATACAATCTGTAATAAGACAGAGATGGTATAAACAAGGGAGTAAATGTAAATAAAGAGTCAGGGACTAGGTCCAGGCACACTGCAACATTAAGGAAGAAGAGGAAGAACCATGAAAGGAAACTAAGAGGGAAGACCAAAGAATCAGGAAGAAAATTAGCAGTGGGAATCCTGGAAGATGAATTGAGAAAATATATCAAGGAAGTGGGTGTCAACCTGGTCAAATGCTGCTAAAATGATAAGCAAATGACGGCTGAGAAATGACCAATGATTCAGGAATACAGAGATCACTAGTGGCTCTGACAAGAGCACTATCAGTAGAGTGATAAGGTCAGTGCCATTGAAAAGTTTTAAACAGAGAAATTCATAATGAGATTTATTTTATAAAGAATAGCAAATGGGGGCAGGGGAAGGTTTGGGGAGCACCTCATAAAGATGACTTCACCCTCCAGAGCAGCTGAAACTTGGATTAACACAGGGCTTCAGGGATACTGGTCCCCAGACATGCCACTGGGCTCAGACACCACAGGCAGAGAAAAAATGGTTTCAAAGCTGAGCCTCACAAAGGAAGTTCCAGTCCCATAGGGGCATCCCATATAATAAAATCCTAATATGCAAATCAACTTAACGATAGAATGACTAGGTGAAACGACTGGTCACTGTGATGCGCACTGACCACCAGTGGACAGATGCTCAACACAGGAGCTGCTCCCAACCCACAGGCCTCAGGCTAGCCAAGGCGGGTGCTGGGGGGGCAACTGCCCCACTGGTTGCCCCGCAGAGGGAGGTGACCAGAAAAAGGTAACTGGTGGTAGTGGTGGGGGGCAGGGTCTGTAAGCGGGCAGTGTCAGGCTGGTCAGATGCCAATGGGAGGGGGTCCCCTCCCTGATTGCCCCAATAGTTGCCCCACAAATTGGCCTGATCACCATGGGCCTGGTCATCATTTGTGCATCATCCTAAGGACCCTATCATCCTAAGGACCCTATCCATGCACAAATTTCATGCATCTGGCCCCTAGTCTATATAACAAGTACCAGGGTGAAGATCAGGGTGGACTTACTTATCTGGCTAATAATTTACTCAAGTCTCCTTATCAAGGGAAGCTGGTTACATTTCGAAATTATAACCTAAATTGTTATAATTTCTTTATGTGACAAATTTAACATACTTATTAAACACCAATTTTATACAATACACTAAATAGGGGTATAAAATAGATGATGCAAGATTCCTACACTGAAGAAATGCACAATCTAATAATTAATATCACTTCATTTGATAAGTAAAAATAAACAAAACCAAAAAAACTTTGACATATTGAGAGATACTCAAGTGTAATTCAAAAATAGTACTATTTAAAATGAAAACTTTAGCATACTTAATTTAATTATTAAACTTTCTTCAGAAGCACCTAATATAGTAGGAAACATATAATGGGGTATCTAATTTCAAATCTGTATAAAGTGAATGTTTACTTTTAAAATAGAAATGCATAATGATAGCTGAACTAAATTTAGAAATAGTAATTGAAAGCCAATTCTCTATTCCAGGCATGCCATTTAATTGAAATTTAACCACAACAACTTCACACGGAAGGTCATTTAATATAAGCAAAAATAAGTATAAAGCTTTTATCAAAAATTACAAATAATATTAAAAGCATTAGTACAAAAATTAAAAATATCGATAATTTTACAGACTGTATAAATTGTTTCATTTGTTACAGTGTTGCATATCCTTTAGAAGAGCCAGATTAATTTTTAATTACAGGGCATTGTACAAAAAAACACATTAAAAGATTCTTTCATTTCTTCCAATTAGAACTATCATCTTTCCATTTAAAAAGCAATTATAACAAGTTAAAAATTCATAAAAAATTTTTTTAGTTAAAAGTAGGAAAAGAAAGAGGGTAGAGGGAGTAAGAAAAAACTAAAAAAGAAAAAAAGTAGGAAAGGGAACTTGTCTTTAGACACTGAATCTTTGGTAGAGGAGAAATTTTTCAGAGCCAACTGAGAAAGGTTACAAAGAGTGGTTTGATTTTGTCAATAATATGATTATGTACATTGATGCTGAGGGCATTGCATGGAAGTATAGGCCAACAATAAGAAAAAACAACAACCAAAGAACACTGGATTACATAGTCATGTTTCTGCAAGTCAAATGTATCTCTCTCACAAAGACAATATCTAAAAAAGATGAAACTTGTCTAATGTAAGAATAACTTACAGTTTCAGAGACATTTCCCTGGCTCATCTTAGTTTATCTCATTTATATGTATACATTTTTGTAAAAATGAAAAAAAACCCTCTATTACAAAAAGGAATCGTAAGGAAATCATAATTTGTAAAATTTATATAATTTGTAAATTAATAAAATTTATTTTAACAATGATTATTCCTTTTCTTCAAGGTTCTGCTTTTTATTTTATTTTAGGAAGAAGCACTGGCAAAGCATTTTAAAGTTAATCATCTTCCATCTATAACTTCTACGGCCTGGTTTATGTCTCAGAAATCTAAAATATGCATGTAGTAGCTTGAAATGGTAGATAAAGCACAGAGTTTATAAAAATAAATGATGAATGTAAAAAATAACTGGCTACTTATATTTACTAAATTACCTAAAATCTATGGTTAAAACATAGGAGAAAGTTGATGAAAATCTGATTAATCATTTTGAAAAATTCTATTTCTTAAATCACATCAGTTTTCTCAAAGCCTACTTTGGTGGCAGAGCCTCAGATTTTAACCCATTTTGCCATTAACTGGGCTTCTGATCCTAAATATAGGTGATCTCTCAGGGTTTCTTCTGCCTTAGGATGCTGACTCTAATTTCCAAAGTAAGAAAGAATTGAAATCTACTCCTTGAGCTTTTGTTAAAGCACATGTTAATATCTACTACATTTATTAGATATTAATATTTTTAAAGGTATGTAAGTTGATATCTCACTAAATAGTGCCTTTTATTACATTTTACATAACTGTTTTCTAACAAATTAATTTCTTATAATTTAGGAACTCCTGAGTTTCTTTCAAAACTTAGTCTTAACTACCTGATTTCTTGATAAGGAACCAACCTCAGTGTGCTTATCTATAGAAGAACTACAGTGAGGATTAAAAGAGTTAAATGAGAAATACTTACGAAGTCATAGGCACATAGTAAATACTCAATAAATTCCATTACTATTACAACTAATGGTTATTAAATAATTCTTTAAATCTTAAAAATCTGGTAGATTTCTAGTAAACAGTAAAGCAGATTATAAAAAACAACAACAAAAAAACAGGCATAAGTTACTTTCTAAATTAAAAAAAAAATTCTATTACTTAATGTCAACAACAAATGCCAGTAAAGAGTCAAACTAATGTATGTATATGAGATTTAAAGGCATAATTTCAAGCATCAAATGTTAAGTTTCAAGATTAAAAACTTACGGATTTGCTTATTCTCCTTTGGTAACTGAATTTTGTTTGTCTGGCTGCTGCCTTCCAGGACAAACACAAAACTTTTCACTTCTTTATCAAACTCCTATAGAACAAAAATGAAAACAATGGTAATTGAAAAGTATTTTGTTTGGCTTCTATTATAAAACTAGAGGCACGGTGCACGAAAATCATGCTCGGAGGGGGAGGCCTGCACCCTCTCCAAGCTGGGACCCCTCGAGGAATGTCTGACTGCCCGTTTAGACCCAATCCCTCTCACTATAAAAGGGGCATAAATGTAACTATCTCACAAGGCTAGTGAACAGATTACATATATAATGTACTTGATGCTATGCGTGGTGAACAGTAAGTACTCAATTAACAGTAGTAGTTTTAAAAAGTTACCTTTAGAACTGAGTCCTTAGAACTCTGGACTCTCCAGTATACAGGAAAGAAGAGAAAAAAAAGATAGTGATGGATATAGGTTTTTACATCTAGTGGCAGCAAGCTGAGGTAGTTTCTACCTGATAGCATTGGTTTTTCCAGTGAAATGGGGTGTGGCCTGGTGAGTGAGGGAGGGGAACCTACCTGGGTGTGGTCTGGGGATGGGGGTAAGGAGTTGGTGGTTAGAAACCTGAAGAAAATTGAGAAAATTATTTTAAAGACTAAGAGAACTTTCTGGGATATTCAGGATAAATTTATAGCATCATCAATCTAAGAGGCTGTAGATATTTTCTCCAAAGGTAACGAGAAACTGGATGCAGACAGATAACTGGGAATTCAGAAAGGATCAGCGTTTGCTAGGCAGGCATGATGAAAGGACAAGCAGCAAGGGCATTCAAGGTCTTGACCAGGATGTGATTGAAATCATGAACTATGGATTCTGGGCTAGAGAGAAAAGGAAGTGAAGACAGAGAAAATACACAAATAAAACTAAACACTGGGGAAAGTAGAATGTCCTAAAAGTCTCAATTAGGTTGAAGAACAAATGTAGTGGGAATAACTGGAAAAGTAGCTTTAAGAACTGAAATTGGGGCCAGAAGGCATGTCGTGATATCCCACTTAGTAAATTTCAGAGTCCCTGCAGTTTATGGTGATGAGGTACAGGGCATGGCAGAGGGCATGCACACCAAAGTAGAGTGGGATAGGTCATTAGAAATGAAGAATTCAAGAAAATTGCCAGGAAGCTCAATTGGGTTAGTGTGTAATCCTCATATACAAAGGTTATAGGTTTGATCACCAGTCCGAGCACATATTAGAATCAATTAATTGGATGCATAAATAAGTGGTTCAACCAACTGATGTTTCTTTTCCCCTCTCTCTCTAAAAAGCAATCAATAAGTAAAAAATTAAAATGAAAAGAAACTGAGAGGCTAAGGGTTTGGACAGATTTTCCTCACAGATACTGAAGTCACTTAAAACGGCAGGACTTGGTGTTCAGAGAAGGGCTGTGAGCTGCATGCCTAAACCTTAAACAAGTGAGGAGTGCTGTCTGGGAGAATTGCAGCCCATAATGTCATGAAAAGATTTTGGAGTGAGCGAACAGGAAGAACAGTTCTAAAATCTGATTGAGCCCTTTTTGTAAAAAACAGTCACTCTCAATTTCTTTCCAAGTTTTAGGTGGCTCTCATTTCTCACACTTACTTTCCAAATCACAGATGGACTTCCAAGGATCTTCCACTTTGCTCCAGGATTTTTTCCCTGGGCACTAAAGATTTCAACAAATGCACCTCCCTAGAAAACAAAAATGAAATATTTACATTAAAGTGAAAGACAATGCTAAGGAGAAGACACTACCCTTTACAGAGCCTACAACCGCTGTTCAGGCTTCTGTCAGGTAAGTATAATAGATATGGGGAAAACAGGATCTTACTCTATACCTAGATTGTATCTAGCAAAGGCAGTTCTGATTTGAGTCACCTCTGATTAATAGAAATTTTAAGAAATTTTAAAAAGCAGGATAAACACTAAATGAATTGTGTCATACAATCTTATGATAGCTTAGTGTAAGGTTCATTTATTTGACATGTATAGATCATGCTTACAAAACATGCTATTCAACCCAGACTAATAAATTTTGATAATTATTATTTTAGTCATACTGGCCTGAGCTTCAATATCAGTTTTGCCATTTATTAACTACTTGACTTTGGAGTTACTTAACTTCTTGATTCTTCACTTGTAAAATGGATTGTCAGATTACACAGGATAGTAAATATAAACCATCAAGCACAATACCTTGGACATAGCAAAGCTCAATAGTGCCAGCAATAACTGTTCAATAAAGGGCATGTTAATAATTTAGTCTGGTCGATAAAAAAAGTTTGGGAGTGAGGAAAAGAATGATTCCTTATTTTGATCATTCCTGTAACTCTTTCCATACAGGGTGGGCAAAAGTAGGTTTATAGTTGTTCATATGGAAAATAATATAAATTTAATATTAATACAAAAATAAATGATTTTGCATATTCACAACTATAAATCTACTTTTGCCCTACTATGTAATACAAATTAATTTAGAGATTTATAAAATCTGCAGAAGCCCCTGGCCAGGTGCTCAGTTGGTTAGAGTGTTATCCAGATATGCCAAGATTGTGGGTTTGATTCTTCATCAGGACACACACAAGAATTAACCAATGAATGCATGAATGGGTTGAGCAAAGTCAATGTTCCTCTCTCTCACTCTCTCCCCTTCTCTCTATAAAAACAAATCAACAAATATTTTTTCTTAATCTGTACAAGGAAAATAGAGAACGTTATTTGTAGATATGCTGTGTTCCCTATAGTACACCTGAGAACATGGAAGGACATGCTTATGTAAAAACACCATACAAATTACCGAATTTCCATGTCCTTTAATTATGAGAGGAATTAAACAAGATGATTATCTTTGAAGAAGAGTTTATTTTAAGAAATTGAGAATCTGAAACAAAGACTAAATATGGTTTTATTTTATGGACTCTGAATAATAAGCAGTATATGAGCAAATCTCTCTGATTTTTGTAAAGAATTCCCAACTTTAAATTTTTCTCAATATTATATTTTTGTTTTTGAATTTTAACACATAATCATTTAAGACATTTAATTTCTTTTTCCTTAGGCATTTTATGTGCAAACTGTGTGTGGATAGAATTACTATAGCTTCTGGAGACAGGTCATATTTCACTATGAATTTTAAATGAGGCAGCTTTTACTTAAGAAAAATCTTTATACCTTGGTGAGATAGGAAAAACTGCCACTCCCCGTTTCTTTTTCTCCTATTTTCCAAGTTTCTAACAGGAGTATGCTTTTTTTTTTTTTTTTTAAACAATATATTTATCCTATATTAAGTGAAACTCTCTAAAATCATTCTAATAATTGGAATAGAAGATAACTACAAAACACTCTCTCGGCACTCATAAGAAGGCAGTAGTGTTTGCTGAAAAGATAGAAGCAACGAAGAGTTGGAGACCAGTGGAGGACTGTTCTGGCACTGGGAGCACACAATAGAACTAGAATGGAAAACAGATTGTAAATAGAGAGTGCAACCTCAGAGAGAGGTCGGGAGGGGAGGGCTGGAGACCAGAGAGAAGGAAATGCAGGAGGGAGAGAAGCCAGTGAAGTGAGGAAAGCAGGTCAGGTGTTGAGATACTCAAGGATCCTCAAGGTGACTGAGGAAGACCCAGAACCAGTTTCTCCCTGTTATCTTTGGACCACTTGCATTGGTGTGAACTGGGGGTGGGGTAGTTGTTACAAAGGTAGATTAACTGGCCCCATCTACAGAGATTCTGATTCATGAGATCTGGGGTGAGGGTCAGGAACCCTGCAGTGTTTCCATGTTCTCCCTAAGTTATTCTTTTATGTCCCAGTAAATGTTTAAGAGAAACTGAACCCGTTTTGGAGAGAATAGCCTATGGCCAAAGCTTATTTTCTTTCTTGATGTAACCCATTCATTCATTCCCTCTCTTCAACAGAGCTCGCTACACAGTGTGCATCAGTAGCGTGTGTGGGCACGGATTCAGGAGTCTGGTTGGGGTGTAAGATCTGTATTTTCATTAGGATCTCTGGGGTTCTATACACCTTGAGAAGCACTGCGCTGGAGACTGGAACAAAGTCGGATCCTGAGTCCAGACGTTAGTTGCTTTGTTTTTGCATCAAGGCCACTCATGCAGTAAATTTCTTCTAACCTCGGGAAAAGACTGCATAATAGGAAGCTTTGCCCTCATCCCAACCGGCCACCCCTCCCCCAAAAGGAGAAAGCTGTATGGACTGGCTGGAGGCAGTTTGGGGTTACCTGATACTCATTTTTGAACATGCCCGCAGGGGGGGCCAGGGCTTGGGGGACAGTTCAGGGCTTCCAGCGAGCAGCGCGCCCCAGACGGCTGGAAGTCGGCGGCAGGGAAGGGCTTCGTGCTTGACCCCCGGTTCGGCCAGGGTCTTCCCGGCCGCGGGTCAGCTCCACCTCGGGCCCCCGACCCGCACCATCGCGGCCCCGCCTCCGGGGAGCCCGAGGTGGGCGGACCCCGGGAGTGATTGTGTGCGTAACCAACGTGACGGGGCGCTGCCAGCTACAGACAACCGCCCACTGGCCGGGGGCGGGAGGCGCGCTCCGCGGGGGATCCGCCGGGTCCGACCGGAAAAGGGCGCTGAGCGGCGCCAACATCCCGGCCGCGCCCATTGGCTCTCAGCAGGCGCCTGCGCGTTGCGCTGCGTGGGCTTCTAGCCAACGGGCACGTGAGGCTACGTAGTGACGTAAGCGTTACCCAGGCAACTGAGGGAGTCTCTCTGAGGCTTCGCAGGCCGCCCTGTCTGTGACGTGCGCCCTTCTTAGGTCCAGTCCAGTGTCTGCGAAAAAGCTTAAACTCAGCCGGGCTCTTCTGGAGGCCTGTCACTTCGGCTCTGGCTGTCTTCGTTGTAAACACTGATAACTGGTAGGTTGCTGAAGGAAAAAGTCATGGAATCATGGAACCCTCCAGACGTGGCCTTTGGTTCGAAGGCTCCCAAACTTGGGATTCCGTGAGGCAATAATAGGATTTGGTAGCCCCTTCCATTGTTTTAGAAGAGGCCCACGGAAGTGGGAATATTTATTCAAGATGAGCACGTGTTAAAAAGACAAGGGTTTTTTTTTGTGCCCCCCCCCCCCCCCCCCCCCGTCAAAATAATTACATTAGTAAGCTAGGCTTTCTAAGTTTAACTCTTTGGTTACTTCATTTAGTTTCTGTGTCAAGAACTGCTTTTACAAGGCAGAAATCTTTGTCAGGTTTTGGCCAAGGAACTGTGCCTCAGAAAGGTAAGAGAGCTTGTCCAAGGTCATATGGCCAGGAGGTAATGGAGTTAGTGTGGAACTCATGTCTGATGCTGCACTCAAGGTTGAGTTAGGTCAATGGCGAAGGGTTCATAATAATCAGCTACCACTCATGGAGCCACTACAGGCCAGGGAGTTCACAGGTTCACAACCCTCTGAGATAAGGGTTAGTTGAGAAGATTGAAGTTCTCAACCTTTCAGTTGAGAATATTGAGGTTCAGAGTTGATTAGGAATTTACTCGAGGATGCAATGTTGACTTTACATTATGGCTTAGTTTGATGTTCTAATTCACCCAAAAGTCTCAAATACGTGTTGTCCCTACAATGTGCCAAGCACTTTGGATCACGAACAGAGTGCAAAAATGCCATCTGGACGTGCCCCTTAGTAGCACTAAGAGAGCAGCCAAGGAACAAGCTTATTTGAACATTTCCTCAAATACTAGATGAGGACAAGGAAGAGGTACAATATCTAGAATCCAGACTTACTGATTGCTAGAGCTTGAATCTAGCTCAACAACAGTTTTTGGCAAGGCTCTATGCTGGGATTTTTAGGAATTATGGTGAATACACATAGTCTCTATCTTATAAAATGTATTATCTAATGTTGGGAAATCTGTTCATTTAACAGCTAATTATTAGGAATGCAATATATTCTAGACACTATGCTAAGAGCTAGGGGCATAGAGAAGGCCTCTGTCTTCTTGGAGCTCACATATTAATAGGGTAAGACACAATAACAAGTGAATAAACAAGTAATTACAACTTGTGATAAATGCCATGAATCCAGTGATAGGAAATAACATTGGAAGGGTATGTTAGTTTCTTGTGATTGTTGTAATGAATTCCCACAAAGTGGGTGGCTTAAAAAATAACAGAAATTCACGGGTCAGAAGTCCAAAATGAAGGTGTTAGCAGGGCGGCACTCCTTTTGGAGGCTTTTGAGGAGGATTTGCTCTTTGCCTTTTCCAGCACCTGGTAGTTATTGGCCTTGCTCGATTTGTGGCCACATCTCTCCAATCTCTGCCTCAGCGGTCACACTGCCTGTTTGTTTTCTGTGCATGTCTTCTCCTCTGTGTGTCTTTTATCAGGATAGTTGTGATGGCATTTAGGGCCCACAGAAAATTTAAGGCAATTTCCTTACTGCAGCATCTTTAACTTAGTCACATCTGCAAATACACTTTTTTTTTTTTTTTCCCAAAAAGGGAAACGTTCACATGTTCCAGGAGATAGATGTAGATATCAATGGGAGGTTTGTGAAAGGAGGGTGTGCCATTTTTTTGGCCTGACCCAAACGTTGAGTTGCATTATAATAGAAATCAGCTTTTGATAAATGCTATAATATAAGAAAGGCAATCAATACAGTGAGAGTAGAGGAGACTCTAGGAAGCAACTTAAAGCTTTTAACAATCTACTTGGGTCCCTGACATGGTATTTTGACATCATAGCTGAAGAGAAACCTACAAGACACCATAGCTGAAGAGATTGCCTTAAATTATCCTATGTTATTTTCTCTCTAACTCTTACTATTATCTGAATCTTATTATCTGTCTTCAGCTATTAGAAGATAAATTCCATGAGGCTAAGGACTTTTTCTGTTTTCATCATTATATCTCATCTCCTACAGTAATGTAGTAGGAATGTTATAACAAATTGGTTGATTCAATTAAAGGCACTTTGTCCTTTCAAACTCAGCATCCAAAACAAAACTTCTCCCAACCTGGGCCTTTTCCATTCTTCCCATTCTTATTAATACAATCGTGTCTCCTCTTCCTCACTCTGTATGGTAGGCAGTTTCTAAAACGTCCTCCAATGAGCTCCATTGTCTGGTATGCGTGCCTCTGTGTAATCTCCCCTGTCTGTGGACTGGACCTAGTAATACTTCTAATGAATACAAAATGGCACGAGTCCTGAGATGTCACTTCTAAAACTGCTTTTCTTGCTTGCCTTCTTTCACCCACTTTATGTGACTTCCCTCCCCTTCTCTGTCCTCACTCAGAAGGAAGCAAGTTGATGTGCTGTGAGTAGCCCCCTGGAGAGGTTCATGTAACAAGGAAGTAATGTTCCTTGAGGACTTGAGGCCTGTCAACAGCCACATTAGTAGGCTTCAAAGTATATCCTTTCCTAACCGAGCCTTGAACTGACAGCATCCCAGGTCAACACCTTGACTACAGTCTTATGATAATCAGTGTCTGAGTCAGAGGCACTCAACTAAATTGTACCCTGATTCCTGACCCACAGAAATTATATTCATTGTAAGCTGGTAAGGTGTTTGTTTTTTTCCCCCCTGGATATTAAACACATTTTATTTATTTATATATTCATTCACTTATGTTTAATCACACAAGCAATACAAACTCATTAAAATGCAAATATTATGGATAATAAGCTGGTAAGTTTTAAGGTAATTTTTAAACACAACAATAGGTAACTAATACACTTCCCATACACAATTCATCACCCAAACCTATTCATTTTATTTAAGTACTTTAAAAATCGATCTACCTTTCCTCCACTGTAGTTTATACAGGCATACCTTGGAGGTATTGCGGTTTTGGCTCCAGATCACCACAATAAAGTGATACTTGCTTATGGAGAGTATTGCCTTCAATTTGTAAAAAAAAATGCAATATTTGTGAAGTGTAATGAAAGCTATGCCTGTACTCGTTTTCCTATGGTTTCTCTTCCCTGAACTAATTTAATAGCCTCCTAGTTCACACACCACTTTGGCCCTCTTCAAATCTATTGCAGTCATAGTCATCCTTATAGAATACAAATTTAATCATATTAGTCTCTTCCTTCTAACCTTTTCATGATTATAGTGCCTGTCTTTCTCTCTAGTTTCTTTGTACATTATTCAGTCCCCTTCATTTCAGTCACATTGAATTTTCTTTTAGTTCCTTGTATCTAACTTGTTCGCTTTCACTGTAGGGCCTTTGTGCTGTTCTGCATGGATTTCTTGCTTCCTTCTTTTTTTGGTTAAGACCTTTTTGTCCTATAGAGTTTAGATAAAGGGACCCTTTCTCAAGGATGCCTTTAGACCCCCCCCCATTTATAGGTTTTCATAGCATCTTAATACTTAACATTATTGAAATAATAATGGAAATTTTATATGTTTTATAATGTTGGCCATCTCTATTGTGCTTGGTATATTAGTTCAACCTTGTACCTGCTATAACAAAATAGTAATTGAGTGAATGATTGAGGGAGAAGATGAAGGATGAATATAGTCTTAAAAGACAGCCATAGACTTTGGTGTTGAGAAAACAAGAAGAAAGCAATTGAAAATACATTAAGGTAAAATGTGAATTAATCACTTTATCGATAGAAAAACTAGTTATAGAGTTGCAATGATTAATCACAGTATAGCAGTAAGTTTCATTACTCAGGTGTTTTTATTTTTAATCACCTGTTTATTCAATTAAAGGCTGGAAGGATCCATTAACATTTACTTTAAACTACTTATTTCTTTGAGAGAAAAATAATTGTCTCAGGCCCAGTTGTCCAAGGGTTAAGTCATTCACTACCTTCATAACTCCTTACAAGTTTAGGACACTTATAGTTGGATTTTTATTCAAGAGTATGGGATAAGGGCCTATTTAGGCAATGGACAATTCTAAAGGCTGCCCAGTTCAGATCAAAATTATTTTGTCTATGGTGAAAACTACCATTAACACTAACAGTGGTGGCTATACAGCAAAATAAGAATGTGCACTATTTTAACAATGTGAATTCAAAGCCAGAGATAGAAAGAGAGCCAATGTTATTATATCAAACTAGAGGCTTGGTGCATGGATTCATGCACAGGTGGGTTCCCTTGGCATGGCCTGAGGGGATTGAGCCAAAACCAGCAGTCCAATGCCACCTGCCGCTCCTGTCTGCAGCTCCTGCTCATCCTGGCTCTGCTACGCCTGTGCCCAGTCAGTCCTGATGGAGAGAGGTTTGTGTTGCTGCAGCAGCACTTGCCAGCCATAAGCCCTCCTTCTGGCGCCTGTCACAGAGGGTGAAGGGAG